CATGCCAATCGACACACTTGCTAATAGACCGGTCTCCATTACCAAAGGGGTCGGTTTCTTAAGGCGGTTCTACTGGTTTTAGGTAATTAACTTCGTTCAGATTCGTTGACCGAAAAGGATCTTGTCAACAATTGGGCTTTAAAAATACATGCAGTTTTCAGGTACAATTCTTATTGTTTAAGTAATTAAAAAATTAATTTCCGTCGTCCAATGAGCGTTTTAAGGTTGTTTAATTTTGTTGGAATTTGTTGACCGAAAAGGATTTTGCCAACAATTTGGCTTTCACTATAAACACAATTTGAAGCTTAATATGCTTCAGAGGGCGAATTTGACGCAGCAAAGAGTTCTTACGATACATTTGGACTCACAGACCAAGTGGATGAAGACTTGACTATTGAAGAGATGCTAGGAGGAACTGGCAGTTCCAAGAAGGACCCTTGCGATGACCAGCTAATGGTAAATTATTCATTTTCTTCCTTTTTCACATCTAAGAGTTCTGTTAGTTTTTGGGTTCTACGGTAGTGTGTATGAACCAGCCGAAGTATAAAATAGCCAAAAAACAGAGGAAGGGTTTCATTATTATGTCACAGCTATGCAACAGAGAAACAGTTACTTAGAAAGATGCAAATCTCAGCTCAAATTACGTAACTTTGACTGAACTTTGTATACTTTTGCTCATTTTTGTCTGTTGACTATTTGGATTTGTCTGTCCTCATTCGTGTTTTAAACACTTTAAATGCATAATGGTAACATTACGATGATAACGATATATTTTGGTTAGAAACATTACAAAAAAATCTATAGCTGGAAAGGACAGCGCACAAACCCTATAAATTAGCAAAGGGAAAATTTGTATCACTTTGGAGTAATACGTTTTCAGAGCAACGTCGGATCCAGAAGTGACTTTGAAGGTCTCTCTTCCCGGAAATCGGACCTGGAGTCGGGAAGTGCGAAGCCAGCCGACCTGATTGCACAGGAATCTATCGAGAGAGCATTGCAGGCAAGATTATTGAGCTATTTGATGCATTTTTATGCTTGGCCGATTTCTTGCGTACCCAATTATTTATAAATCTAGAATATAAACAAATCAATCTTTAATTACGAATAAAACTTTTGCAACGCTCATATTCAAAATTTTAAGAAGATTTGACAATTTGCTTGTGAATTTTGAATTAAGTCAAAATTAAACTAAATATCGAAACACTTTATTTAAGAAACAAAATATGGGTAGCTTTCACATTTGCGGTAGCCTCCTTTACAATAATTTAATTTTCATGCCGGAAACTCTTAACCAAACATTGATTGAAATTGTGCGTTACCAAAAAGGTGTCCGCGTGTTTGGTGGCATTTGTTTTCGTTTTCTCAAATTGTCTGTTTAGGACTTGGCTCTGAATCCAAACGTGTCAGCAACTGACATCATCAGTGTAAAAGGAGTCAAACCCAAACTACACCTGAAGTACACTGCAAACAAAGCCACGGACAGTCTGAACGACAGTGGCATCAGCGAAGAGAGAGACAATTTGACCGAGTATGGGTCGTCAATTTCGAGTCTCAATCAGAACAAAACAAAGGTAAGTTTCTTCCGTTTTTTTTCAACAAATGTTCAAGATTTTCGAATCAAAAAGTCTTTCTGCCGAGTTTTTATTTTTGGCTGCGTATCCTATATTGTACTTGTTTGATTTCACGGTTTAGAAGATACGAATTATAAATTTGGCTATACAGACACAATTTTAGAGGTGTGAAGTTACTTTTTGCAAAAGTTAAAAGCTTTAAATAAGTGGTTAATTTTGAATAAATTATCTCTAAATATGGACAAAACGATACAAGTCAGTGTATCTCTGAATTGTGCTTCCAACCAGCAGTTGTATATTAAAACATACCTTTGAAAGTTAAAGGGTCATGCAAATAACTTGGTGTTTACGTAGATGCTAAGTTGTCATTTAGTTCTCACATGAATTTCATACGATCTAAGTTCAGAAAACAATTTTGCATTGTTTCGAAAATGCGTCATTTTGTTCCCAAAACCGTTATGATTAAATATTATGGCTTTAATATCAAGCCCATTTTGTAATATGAATTATTGGTGTATAGTTGCATTTCCTACAAAATCATTTAACCCCTTTTTTATAATCTAAAAAAATTATTTGATTGATTGTTCTCAAAAAAAATGAAAATTTCCTGCAAGTTTTCACTACTGAAAATTTTTAACATGCCACGAGCTGCTGGTGTATGAACTCTGACGATCAATAGCAAGACTACATACTGAAAATTTTTTGAATGACCTTCGTGTATTTGACATACCGTCGCATATGCTCAGAAGATCAACTTTAAATTTGATGAAAATTTCGATTTTTAAAAGCAAAATACAAAAACTAAGCTCTTTAATTTGCTTAGACAAAGTTCCTTAATACCAAAAGTTTTCGATCAAAGTTCTAGTTCAGATAATCAACGCTTTGCTCACAAACTTCGTGATTTGTTTAGGTTAAGCAATGGAGAGCTGATTAAAGTTTTTTGTTGACATTTTATAACTAAATGCAAGAATAGTGATGGAAAATGACGATGTGAAGTGCATGCAGGTTTTTAAATTGTTTGAATAATTGAATATGGTTTTCAAATCGACTTCGGCGTTTTTAAAACCACACTTGGGCTTGTTCGCTGGTTACTGCCGCATGGGCTTAGTTAGGTGTCTACTGACCGTTTAGCCGCAATCAGTTCTACTGATGTTAGAGAGGCTTCAAGGATGAGACCCAGTGTAGAAGCATTAACCGTAAAGTGAACAAGTTCGAGTTTTGGTTTCGAATCCGAATAGGGGTCCCTTCGCCAACTTTTCTCTAATTTAGTTTGGCTCTATAACGACTAACTCGGATCTTATGTCATTAACATATCTAAACAATGCTAATTTTGTGCTTTTTTATGTTTATACAGTCTTTTTCCCATTGTTTTCTATGTTTTTACATATGTTTTTTCGTTTTCTTTGAAGATCTCAATTTACTTTTATATATATATATAAATGGGGCAGTGCTTTGTAACCCACATGGGTTCGTTGACTGTCCCCTCACTGTTTTAGTTGCTTTATTTTAAAATTTTTGTTGTATACATATTTAACAATAACAATGAGAAATAAACTCTTCTCCTTCCTCTTGTTCAAGTAGCACTGAATTTTTCGACTACGTTCGTTTTTCCAAAAAGCAGTTAAGAGTTTTTTGATAGGATTGTTTGCAAACTTTCACGGCTTCGCGGTTTCGTTCACTGCAAAAATATAATGGCAAACTCTTTTTTTGCAAAAAAAATCTTATAAAAGTTGAAACAATCATGCAAAGAAAGTTTTTGATGTTTTTTTCGTTTTTTTTGGGCAAGAGGCAGGTATACAAGTTAGATTCTTCAAATTGCGTTTAATCTTCATATTGCGTTGCGTGTGTTAAGACGTGTTTTTTTTGTGACTTGCTCTCTCGTTTGTGACTCATTTTCATCGCTCTGTCCTCTAACTTGTCCTGTCAAAATCAAAAAAATTAGACTAATTTTACTCTCAGACTATTTAAACAAAAGAGTTTAAATAACAACTCAAATGACCTAAAAGGGGAATGTGAAGAACAAATAGGGTTTTATATAAAATTGAGTTTGCTGAGCGAATGGTGCGCTAATTGATTTTCAGCCTGTGGATCCCTTTCGAGACCATCAGGGACCTATGAACATGCACCAGTTCTGTACCCACATTGGACCCGTCTCAGATGACGCCCAGATGCCCTTCTCCCTCCAATCTCTCTCGCTGGCTCTCCACGCCCCGAGCAAGATACGACACGCGAATAAATTCCTGGCGACTGCCACGGCGAAAGGCGCCGAGGAGGCTAATCTGTTGTCGGGTCAGACGAATTCGCCTCGTGATGGCAAAGATCGGTCGGGTGGAAAAGTGGCGGAGGACAAACGTATCCAAAAAATAACAGACGATATTTTCAAGGTGAGTTTTCAAAATGATCTTTTTGAATGTAATTTTCAGTATTCTGTAACTGAATAACTTGACACAGTTTTAAGTATGAATATTCTGAAAGGAACCTATATTTATTTGTCTTTTTTTACATTTTCGATATATTTCATCCAATTTTTACATAATACCGAAATAACGGCAATTAAAACTTATTCAAATGCAGATTTTGTCATTATATTTTATTTATAAGTAAAAGAAAACTGCTTTCAGGATTACTTGAACTACAACGGGGATGATTCTGATATGAAAAAGCGGCAACCTCAAGTTGAGAATGACAACTCTTCCAACAGCTATCGGAGACTGCAGAAACTAGCTGAGGCGGTTGTTCAACCCCCCTCGTCAGGAGACAGCAATGATGACTCATTGGGGGTTGATGGGACTAAAGTGTCCATGTTTGACATGGGCACTCAGCAGTTGTGGAAAGCGGCGCCTCCTAAGATGAATTTGACCCCTGGTTAGTTTTTAGCCCAAATTCACTCGATAAGCTTTTTAAAAATTATTTCGGTTATTTTCAGTGATCATTATTTTTGTGAATGACACTAATTTTGATTACAATTGAAAAACGAACAATTATTGCTACCACCAAAAAATTACTACTCAAATTATTGGCTCTTTTTCCTTTTCCCCCCACCTGCAAATTTTTCAATTTGAAATTGCCGTTCACTTTGTCCGATTGTCATGAAAAATGACATGCAGATTGATTAGGCCATGACAAACATATTTGGTCTTCATAATTGAGCTTGCAAAACGACTCGGTACACCATAAAAAAATTATTAAGGTGTGAGGTGGGGGGGGGGGGGGGGGGGTTAGAAGAACCGGAGATTGTTCACATCGGCCTTAGCTGCATTGAAACTCAACCAACGACATCAAAAACTCATTCTTTTTAGCAACTTGAAATTTCTATTTAAAAAACGTGCTTTTTTAGGCTACATTCAACAGAAGCTCTTCAATGACTTTCACAGTTCCCTCCAGGGCGTGGTCAAGGACTCTCTAGGGGTGGGGGTTGTCGGAGGGGGAGGGGGAGGGATGCAGAGTGCTTTCGGGGGGTCCACTTACAACACCAGATCTCAGCTGTGGGGAACATTTGCTGACTACGATGACGACGATGAAGGCGAAATGAGTGCGGACATGAAAAACATGTTCGTTTTTTTCGATTGTTTTTTCTGTTTGCTTATAAAAGCGATAATATTAGCGACCCAATTTCAGATTCAAGTTTTTCAGAAATAATTTATCTTTGCAAAAACCATTGTGTATGCGAAAACAAAAAGTATTGTTTATTGAGTTTGCTTACTGGCGCCATTGGTGCTCTCTGAGATTCTGGAGTCATTTGATTTAGTACCTGCCAGCTGATGTTATGTGTGTGTTATCTGAAACAGTTGCTGTTGTTAGTGCATAAGATTAAGTTGGAGGTTTATTGATTCAGAATTTACAGTATAGAAATCGCGTTTTTCTCATGGCGCAGCAAGCAGGATGTGGTGCAAGGACGGGGAAGAACCCACTCGGAATTACAGCATTTTGGCCAAGCAAGTGCACGGAGGCACCGATGCTATGGGGCACTGGATCAATCGTTTTACCTGGGGGGTACTAGCGAAACACTCGTTCAATCCAACGGCGTTTTACTTCGTTCGGACGTTAACAGACACTCAAATTGCGGCGTTGCCAGCGGAAGTGGACGGAAAAAACCGCATGGAGGCGGAACAAACTTTTATTTCTAACCTATATCTTTACCTGGGGGTAGCGGGGCCAGGGCGAACTTCATAATCGGAAACATCATCTGGATTTGGCAGATACCCGATACCCGCGAGTACTGGATGAGTTCGAGAACGTGTTCAAAAAGGAGAGGAACGAGACGTTCGAAACCTACCAATTACTATCCAGAAAACAGCGGGATGGGGACACACTAGAAACGTTTCACTCGGTTCTGAGCGGATTGGCGGCCAGGTGTAATCTGGGAACGCTGGAGCGACGGATCTTACGAGACGTGATTATAGTCAATATATCCAATAAGGAGGCGCAGATGGAACTCTGTCGCTCTACCAAGACTCCGGATGAGGCTTACCGGATTGCGCTTTCATATGAGCGGGGAGATAAGTACGCAAAAACGTACAAAGTTTCCGGTGAAGGGCTTGCTGCGGCGCCGGCGGGGCGCTCCAGATAAAAACAGAGCCAGTCAGTGTGATCCGAGATGGCTATCGTCGGCCGTTTTAACGGGGTGGCCGAGGAGCCTGAAGCGGAAACAACCGAGGAGCGGATCGTAAGTGTTTCAATTGCGATCAGAGTGGTTTTATAACGGAATGCGAAGTGTCCGGCACGAAATGCCACGTGTAGTTTTTTGTCGCAAAACCGGACACTACGAACGCGATTGCCGAGGCCGCAGAGCGGCAGGGCGAGGACTTGTGGGTCTAATCCACGAAGAAGGCACCGAAGGCTGGGTGACCGACCCAAATGAAGTAGCTCACGGCTAGGATTCAGATAGTTCAACTGACTATATCGTAATGTCAATCAAGCGAAAAAAGGTGGAATCGAAAGTAGTGGGGGCGAAATTAGCAATAAAAAATAACGGACTTTCAACTCAAGCCTGGATCGACAGCGGATCGCTTATTTCTATTTTCACCATTGGAGAACTGAAATGTACCTTGGGTAAACAGAGTGTGCAGCTTCAGTCAATAGATCCGAAGGTTGATCAGTTCGGAGATTATGGAAATAACCCTCCAAAACTCCTGGGGAAACTGGTTGTCACTCTCCACTCCAACCGATGGACGACTCAAGCGGCCATAAGTGTACTCGGGGGCTGTCAACCATCCATCATCGGTCGGGATTTGATGCCGGCGTTGGGGTTGATGTTGGTGCAAACGCCAGCAAAGCAAGGAGTACTCAATATCCAAGGGCAACCCGACGCCGCTGCTCGGGGAAGATCTAGATGACTGGCAGGAGCTTTTCAGTAAGCAACTCTATAAGCTTTTCCACAGGGTAGGGCGCATACGCAACTATAAACTTCAACCAGAATTTTTCAAAAATTTAATGCCGATTCACCAAAAGGGCAGAAGGGTGTCAGGAAAAGATATTTAATGAAATTGATAAGCTACTGGCACAAGGGCATATACAAATATTAGAGGAATGCTCGGACAAATATTTCGTTTCGCCAATTGTCATCACAGTAAAGAAGGACGGTTCGGTAAAGCTTGCTTTGGAATCCAGGGAATTAAATAAGCAAGTCCATAAAAATAAGTACCAGATGCCCAATATTGAAGAGCTAAGGGATATTGTGGGACAAACAACAAGTGAGCGGAAGCAGGGGGACGTGTTTTTTAAAACAATGGATCTGACATATGCGTACGGCCAAATACCTCCAGACGCGGATACTAATCAACATTGCAATTTTTCATCTGTAGGAGGTCAATATACTGGGACGTAGCGGTTTAAAACGGGATTCCACGGTTTAAAAACCATGCCGGCGGAATTTAAACGTGTCATGGACGGTATACTTTCCGAATTTCCATGTGCGCTCGGATTTATCGATGACATTCTAGTCAAATCGAAAGGATCTGAAATCGAGCATATCGCACTTGTGGAGAAAATCTTGAAAAAACTAGACAAAAAACATGGCGCTGAAACTTGAGAAATGTCATTTCGCGAGAAACGAATGGTTGGGCCATTGGATTACCAGTTCCGGCATCACGCTGTTGGCAAACTTCTTATTTGGTAGGCAATTTACAGTCAAACTACTTATTTGGTAGGCAATTTACAGTCGTAACAGACCACAAGGCCCTAGTAACATTGTTAATTGGGAATAACAAGAAATATAAAACTTTGTTTAGCCGTTTAACACGATAGATTGATTGAATAATTCTTTTTGACTTTAAAATTGAACACATGCCTGGTGTCAAAATCGGTCTGGTCGATTATTTGTCAAGGCACCCAGTGATGGAAGCATCGCGGGTGAGTCTTTACGATAATCCGTTTACGGTGGCTTAACTGAGGTCAACTAAAAATTGCTTCGGTTATCATTCAGAGACAACCACCGGAGAGGCAAACGTCAAGTCAAGACTATCGAATGTTTCAGCCAATGAGAACGAAATATGCAAATACGATTGCAAAAGTCAGCCGGATGAGGGCGGAAAATCTTGCGATCTCTCAGCAACCAATCAAAAGGCAGCTTTGTGCATATCGGAGTGCAAGGACTGAGAAGGCGCGAAAATAGTCAAATCGTTTACTGAATGTCATTTGAGTGAGTCTGAATTTAGTTCTATTCCTTCAAATCAAAATTTAATTTTCCAATGGCGAGTATCAATTTGAAAAAATCAATTAAACTTTTGTTACGATATCCAGAAATTACTAGTGGAAGCAGCAGTGAAGTAGAAGTGGTGGACGCGAGATTGGAGGCGGTAAATTCAGGAACAAGGGATGTGAAAAGCAACACTCATTTCAATTCCATTGGCATTTAGGGGGGAGATATATCCACCGGCGTATTCAGCGAATGTGGTGATGTCAGTTGTTCCGCGGGACTGCAAGATCGTCATGAAGCACGATGCATTGCCCAAACATTTTTAAGCTAAAGCTAGTTGAGGCGAACTACAAGAGTGACCCCCAGATGCCTGCAATAAAGGAACTGGTGGAGGCAAAGAACACGGACCTCGAGAAGAAAATCCAAGCAATGGGAGCGTATTTGAGACAACACACGCACGATTTGCATGTTCGTGAGAACTGTCTCTGGATGGACGAACGACTCGTCATTCCAATTCCACTCAGGAAGGCGGTCGTAAACCGTATCCATTGTTTCCATCATAGACGGGCGAACATGTTTGACGCGGCTAGGGACCTGTAGTTCCCGTATCTCCATCGGAGTTTAGTGGCTGCCGCTGATGAGTGCAAGGAATGTTCCGCCGCAGGTAAAAGCCTTAAACCTATGTGCGCCAAAGGTGACATTGGGAAAATATACGAACCTAGGGAGCCGAAGGAATGCCTACAATTAAACTGTTGGGGCCCGATTAAATACTTAAATGAATTGGACAAATACTTTCTCGTTGCAATGGACCGGTTTTCACGGTGATCGTCGGCTATGATTTTGTAGTAATAATAAGAATCTTAAATCTTGAATTGATGTTAGAACGCGCGCTTAGTGTCCTAAGATTTGCACCCAACATTAAACTCAAAATTACGCCATTCGAGGCACATCACGGCCGGGAGACCAATACCGTTCTCCGAAACTTTACGAAGAAACCATCGTTACAAAAGCTTAACTGGTAGACGGTGTTGAAGCAAAAATGTGCAGGTTTAGATTCAGGTGACCCACGTGCAAGCGAAATGCCCCACCCAAAAAGAATGGTCAGGTTCGAAAACAATGAAGTCGAACGTACCGGCACAAACACGACAAAGTTCACAAAACTGGGATGATGAGAACGATTCGGATTCTAATTCTGAGTATGAGCCACTTCGACCGACCAAAATTATAGCGGGCGCACGAGATGAGACGGAGGCCGGTCCGAGTTACAGTGGTGCGCTAAGCACACTGAGACTAGTCACGGAGACACCAGCGAAGAAGACTTCATCCGACGGAGAAAGGCAAAGCACGGAGCGCGAGGTGAGAGACGCGGCAGGAACGATTGGGAAAGCGAAGAGTGTGCCCAGTTTAGGCGAAGATGGAGTGGCGGCTAAAGATTTTAAGAAGAAGGCGGGACGACCGAAGAAGCAGAGATTGGTTTCTTTTTCAGTCAGGATTCGTAAGAGTCAGACAAAACGGGATCGAGAAGGAGTTCGAGAAAACGTACGGCGGTGTCACAATTTGGGGGAGTCATGATCGATAGCGTTTTCAAGGAAAGGCGAAATAAGAGGGAAGGAGTTAGAGAACGGGACACGAATTACAGAAGGTACCATCGAAAGTAGATTTCTAAAGCAAAATTCATAAACTTTATATGTATGTCCAGGGAGAGAGCGGACCGCGGGTCTTAAAACTCAAACCAATTTCTGTTTGTGTAATTTAAATTACAATTTAAAATTAGTCAAATTGAGTGAATGTCATATTTGGTGAATAGTATCTGGTCTTGGAAAAAAATTTCCTCTGTACTTTAATTTTTCGTAATATTTTTCTCTGTAACTTAATTTCTCCATCAGTAACTTAATTTTTCGAAGCTCGTCCACTTATTTTAGTGGGATACTACGAGAGACCAAATCTGAGTGCAACTTGTACTTCGAAGAGAGGGATGAGTTTGTGAAGAAATTGGTGGCCGAAAACGAGCGAGACATCCAGCTGAAAGCTGATTGGCTGAACGAAGTGCAGGAAAAAGCCGAGCTACATAGATTAGGTATTTTAGATGTTCCAGTGACAAAAGCTTACAGGATTGTATATTGGAGTTGTTTATTAACAAAAAAAATGAGAAAAGCGTTTACAAGCATTTTACTTGCGTTCAAGATTTTTTGATGAAGCGAAAACCGGACCTGAAACGACGAAAATTTTTTCCGATTTTCTAAGCGTCAATTTTCGGTTGTTTATAGTTTTTGGAACTGTGATTCAGAAGAAAAAATCATGAGCTCACTATTTTTGTACTTTTTGGATATTGTTACGGTTTTCTTTTTATAAGGCAAATACAGCATAAATACCCATGTGGGCTGGCTAGAGTAGCGTTATACTACGAAACCATATGTTTTCTAACCAAAATCGCAAATAAAAGTGTTTACTAAAAGTGTTCACCTCTGCTCTATAGCATGTGTTCGATATCCGCTTTGTTTCCTGCTCAGAAGGTTTTTGTTTTTCAAGACACTTTTATCTACTTTTCTTTCCTTTTTCTCTTTTTCGCTTATGTTTACGAAGTGCAGCTTCGACGCTGTTTAAAATGGTGTTTTTAATGATTTGTTACTCAACCTTTATTTTTTTTGCTGTAAGCCGTGAAGGATGCCATGTTAGCGGGCAAGAGACCTCCGGAGAAGGAGCCCCTTCCAGCACCCCTAGTTGGCCCCTTTGCCCATTGGGGTGGGGGTGGGGGCGAGTGGGATGAGGTTGTTTGGCAGGCACAGAGGAGGAAAGTGAGGACATTCTCCCACCCTGATTTGACTCTTCAAATGGAACACGAGGGTTACGAAGTGCCAACTGGTATCAACGACTACATGCAAGAGGTTAGTTGGGGTACCTTACGGGCAGCCGTTGACGAGTGGGTCAGACACCTGGTCTTTAACACAAAGGTCAGGGGTTCGAATCCTGCTTCGGTCATGGTTGGAGGGGTCCCAGTGACATCCGCCTTCTCGCAGTTTCATCCAGCAAAGTGGATGACATCTCCCTCCCCATCGGATTAGAAGGCCCAAGGTTCATAGGTGGGAGCTGGGCCGGGGGTTTAAAAACGTTTCATGCCATCAAGCCATCATATTTCGCCTTACTACCTCTATAAAATGATCCCGCTCGATTGGCAGAAAACACATCCTTTCCTGCAATTGGCCGAAAATGTTCACATGCGATTACCAGAAAGCACAATGTTATAATAGAGAGACTTGAATCGATTGCTTTCAACTTCGAATTTTTATGTCGTAAACCCGCGCACAGTTGATCTCTCAAAAACTTCATTCAGTTTTTTAATCGAAGCCTATTTAATTTACATTCCGAATAAGTTTCGAGTTTTAGTTGTGTGTCAAAAAAGAGTTTTCTGTGGTCCCTGATTCGAAAATATGGAGCCCATTCTGCCTAATTTATCTTATTTTATCAGTTTTTTAGAATAGAGAAAAGAATTTGGAAAAACCACGCCCCCAATAAGTTAATACGCTTGCAGTTAACAAGCGCTATCATTCCAAAATGATAACATCAGCGGAATACCTTGAATATCTTCAAATTAATCGGTTAATTTTTTTTTAATTTAGGCGAAAGAACAAAGGAAAAAGGCTCTGAAACAGATCTACGACAAGGCAGTGCAACAACACACTGAACAACTGAAAGGTTCAAAAGAAGAAGATGGGAAATTAGCCGACGAACAACAGCAGCAATCCGCGGTTTCCGAAGACGAAGCTAATTCGGCTAAGAAAGATGTCCCTGCTAAACATGGCAAACGCGAGAAGTCGCCTGATAGAAATGTATGCTAATTGAACCTATTGCCCGTTTAGCCAATATTTTAATCGGAAAAATTGGAAAATCAATAAATCTGAGCCAAAAAGATGATCACTTTGTTGTGATTTTCATGAACATCAAATTTCCAGACCGAATTGTGTTTGAAGAAAGCTTGGCTGGAATCCAAATTTTGCAATGAGCATAACTTTTCACTTTGAGAACGTCAGATTGCAAAAATTTAATTCACATTACAAAACTTAGTCTAGATAATGTGAAATAATACAAAATATACTATTATTAGACATTGCGGATAAGACCTACTTATAGCTCCTCTGCGATTCGCAGGAACCACAATTGTTATTTCGCTTGGCGACTAGCAAGAGTTATCAAATCTGAATGACGACTTTTTTTCGGGTTAACAACTAGTTTAGCACAATCAGTTGAATCACTTATGACTATGCAGCTAAGCATCTATGAAGATTTTTAAATCACTTGAATATTTCAATTTTTTGAAAATTCAATTTTAACTACTGAGTGGGTACAAGTTACTACAGGGTAGTTTCAGGGAGGTATCGAAATGTTTTTTAAAAAATTTCAAATCTATTTTTTTTTGGCTCAATTGTCTGCTCAGAGATTGTTGGCTTTGTTTTCCTTTCTTAAGCTTTGTTCAGTTTGTAATTTGAATTTCAAATGACTTGCTCGGCATGTTTGCCTCAAACTCTTGTTTGATAAAAACAGGTATTTTGAAAATGCATGAGATTGGGTTTTGTTTTGAAGAGCTTTGGAAAATTTTATCTTTTTTGCAAAAAATGTAGTTTCAAAAACCCTGCTATCGATTTTCAAAAAAGGGGCATCCATAGAAAGATCGCCACACCCTTGAGTTCTTGCATTTTCCCCTGGTCTCTTTTTGCTTTGCCCCTTTGTCTACAGCCTTCGAAAAAGTCTGTTGGGGGAATATTTGACCGATATTTTGATTTTTTTTTTTAGTTTTCTCCAATTAGTTTTACCAAATCTGAGATTTTGTTTTCATTAAAAAGAGTGGGTTTGAAAGTTCATTTGCATTAGTGGCTAGCCCAAACTTTTTTCTGCGCCTCAAATTTTGGCCCTCGGAATTTTGAAATTTTTTATTTTTTTCGATGGTTTTTTGAATCTTCGATTTTTCTCGAAACCAATTCTCCCAAACTGAGGTTGTGGGTTCAATTGAGATAAGGGGTAGTGGGAAGCTTCCCTCTCATAAATTGCTTACACAAAAAGTTATTGTCCTCGGAAAAAAAAAACATTTTTTTGATTTTTTGCGCGTTTTTTCATAAATTTTACCGAACAATAACATCACATATCTGAGATTTTGGATGCAATCTAAAAACGGGTTGTGAGAAATTTTTTGAATTTTTCTCGACAACTAACCTGCCATATCTGATATCATAGGTTTAATCGACACAACAGGTTCTTGGAAGCTTACCTTTACAGTTTCATACACCCAGTTTCTCCTAGGCTATTCCTTAACTTTTTGTAAAAGAATTGTTGTCGTTGGGAAAATTCCAAAATCTCAAAAAATTTTAATCTTGTCACTTATTTTAGTAGACTGACAACGAAGGTTTTGGGCTAAATCTAATTTTTGAGCATAACAAAGTCGAAAATATCAAACATATACCTGCAGCTTTAGCTGGGCCCTTAGTGTCCTTCATCAAGACAGGTGACCTAGCGGTTCCTCCAATTTAATGGTTAAATTTTTGGTTCACCTAGCTTTTTAAACATTTTTCATTTTTTTGACATATTTTTTTATGATTGTGTTGTAAGTGGTGCGAAGCTCCGCTTTGCCTCTGTGTTATTATTAACGTTTTCACACATTTTTCAGATAGCTGTTTTTCTAAATTTTCGACAGGGTCTTCTTAAAGTGCAACAAAAAACAACTAAATTTGAAGGCAAATTCTATATTCCACATAATTTAAATCCAAAATTAAAAAACAATTCAAAGGGGATGTCGGTCACGTTGAGTAAAAAACCGAGCCATTTTTGCCTTTTCTAGAGCCAGGCAATTGTGCGATTCGGAATACGCGTAAGTTTTGAACGGAAATGATTCAAAATTGCTAATTTGGAAGGCAAATCTGATGCGGACCAAAATAAGTAGCCACTGAAAAACTTCAATACAACTCCAATCAATTTGTTAGCCAAAAATTGCGTGCTTTATTAGAACATTTGAGCCGAAATAAAAACTGAAAACGGTTTATACAAGTTACGTCGCTACGGTATAAATCATTGACTTTTTGTTCAACCTTATTCAGCTTTTTTTCAGTGAAGGGAGAAAAGTCGTATACTTTTTTCAAGCTCAATTTTTTTTGTTTAAGTTCAATTCAAATTCATTTGTCATAAGAAAGGCAAATTACGCTCTCCCATAACGGAAGCACAAATGGCGTGATAAAACATCACGCAAGAATCTTGAAAATAAAAGAGCTTCAAGGTGACTTTTTTTGTTTCTGAAATTCGAAAGTTGAAAAATATTACAAAAAGTCGGTTTTTTTAAGTTTCCTTGAGTTGATCAAATGTCTGTTATCACAATTGAAGATTTCTACAAATCCTGATTTTAGGATGCCCAAACTGAGAAGACTGCCAGCTCTGCATACCAGTCAACAACTGTGTCGGTGGTGTCTTCTAAGCGAGGTAACATTTTAGTTGAATAGCAAAGGCACTTCTGAAAAGTCACACAGAAACAAGAAGTTCCCCGTTCAGCTCATCAATAAATGTTTGCAGATGCAATTAAGTGCTTACACAACTCTAATTACATAAATCAATAAAGTGCTTGCACAAACTCACGTCTCAAGGTCAACTGAGCGTACATTAATGCATGCAAAACTTTATGGGAATTGCTGTTTTGTGCTTCATAGTAAATCCCTGACCTATTTGCTCTTGGAACTCTTCGGTCAATGGCAACTAGTGTCAATATTCTTACCGTTGACTTCCTAAATCGAGCAGAAGATCGCTTTTTCGAAGTTGTTTTAGACGCTCAATTAGCTTTGCATTCAAAATTCACCTGCCTTCTCGGCGAATCCAAAAGTTTAAAATGCATACGATAATCTACTGAAATTGAGCAATTGATTTTTTGGGGCTTGAGAGCTTTCGAATTAAATTTAATTTTTCAGCTTCTCGAGCTAGCAAAGCTGAACGAAGTCTGCAAAGTGCTCTCAAGTATGGCCGAACTAGCCAGGGATCCAAAAAGAAAGTCGGAAAGTCGACAACTGCATCACAGCACAAACTGACCAGAGTGGGAACTCTGTTGTCCAAGCCGATCAGGCCTTTAGAAAGGTAATTTTACAACCGTTTGACAAGAAATAGTTGTTTCACATGAGGAGTTATTTTTCTTCTTCAAGTGTTATATCTTTAAGGCGTATAATTTGTTCCAATTTTGGTGAAAGTAATAAAATATGTAGTGGGTTTTTTAAGAACATTTTTTGATCGAATTGATATTGTTTGACAGAAAAATTCTATGACACGAAGGTATCACTTTCTTACTTCAAAATCGAAAAGAAGTTTATCAGGTGTTATCATTATTTTAAGTACTTGAGTTTGGAAATGCCAATTTGTGGGGCTCATTTCTGCGCGTTTTTGACCTGTACAGCTATAATACCCAACGCTTGATTGCAAAACATCAAGACATGGCGAAAAGATCCATAATCAAGTCCATATTCAAGATGTAGTTTTTTTATAATTGTTCCGACTTTCGTAATGAAAGTAACGGAATTTTCGTGCTCGGGTGGTTTTTTTTCAGACAATTTCGACTTTTTAACTAGCCATTTTTGACGGCCTTTTTTTCTATATCATTCGAAAGATTTTTTTGTCTTTAGCTTAAATTTAAAAAGATATTTTACCTGTGATCTTTTACCGTAAAGTTATGAGGTTTAAAGATTACCGTTTTTGCCAATTTGGGACAGTTAACGCGCGATAAATTTTGCGCTATTAACGCGTGAGCGGAGATTTGGTCCGTCTTAGAAATTGTTCCAAATTGGTTGAAGGAAGCTTATTTGTCATAATTAGTTTGTTACTAGGAGCGAAATTTTTCACTTTGTACTCTATATGGCGTGTGGGTGGATGATTTTTACAAAAAATCTAACATAGAAAAAAATGCATTTTATTTCTTTTCATTTAATTCTTTCATGTTATTACTGCTCCATAGACCTTAAAAGGCAGTCGGAACATTCAGGGCTTAGCCCTCATACGAGCAGTCTTGTTTAATTTGTTTAATAATTCTGTTTCAGGTCTCATTCTACTGAACTAATTAAAGTGCCGATTCGTCCCAAGATTCTGAAGGTTCCGCGGTAAGTGCATTTGCCTTGTAACTTGACGTTGCAGCTCAATCCAAGATAAAAAACAATTATAATTTCTGCGAGTCTTGAAATTTACATTATCAAGCAAGGTTGTAAAATTCGAACTAAGATAGCCAGGTGATATGCAAGTAGCCCAGAATATTCAGACCTCATTCGTTTAAAAAACTCCAGAAAAAGGTTTTTCCATTTTTTTCTAAATAGTGTGTTTTTTTGTGCGTAGTATGATGAGAGAACTATACAAACGCGTAGCAACCAAGTGAATTAGGCATAATCGACAACAGTTGTTTTCTTAAAATGAACTAAAAATGCAAAAAGGGAGAAAACTGCTCAAAAAAATTTTTTTCTTTTTTTGCACAAATGTTTATAATACCTTTTGATAAAAAAATTTTTCGCCAAGAAAGCGCCAAATGATACTCTTAAAATTAGTTTTTTTGTTCATAAAATCAGGTTTTGTTTGTTTGAAAAACTAATTTTTTTAAAACAAACGTTACTCGATTGCTCTACTCGCTCGAAATAAGAATAAAACTTGAAAATTTCCACAAAATTTTCCCCGAAACTTTCCTAGAAACTGGGACAAATTTTTGAAAGATTTTGCGAGGAAGACAAAAATGAAAAAGAAAAACTAAAATACACCGAAATACAAAGTTTCTCCTCATTTTCGGTGGTCGAAAAATTACTAAAGCACACCCGAATACAAAATTGCTCCCTATTTTCAATGGCCGTGGGAACAAAGAAGCTTTTCTCTTTCGGGTGCGTATTCATAAGTCCTAAGATGAAACATCAGTCCCAAGGTTGTTACCACGTAGTTCAGTTTTGTATATAGGTCGTGATGATTTTATTTTAGGAAATGTCTTAAAATTTGTTCAGGCTCGAAAATGCTTTTTCGCGGTTTGACTTTTGATTTCTTTTTCAGTTCAGTTTTGTTGAAAGGAAGGCAAAATCTACTATCGAACAGCTAAGTGTAAAGGTCACAAAAAAGGTGATCGACTTCTAGTTTTGAAAATGGATTTTAATTTTAACAGCGGAATGAACATTTTACCTAATAATCCAGTTTTCTCAAACTTGGCTAATTTTTTCAAAATGTGTATTTAATCAGTCAATATTTTTTGTCAGTTTGTCAAAAAATATTGACTGATGTTTTTTCAATTGTATTGCGTGGTTTTTTTTACTATGTTTTTTTTCAATTGGTCAAAGACTCTACTTTAGCCCATTCTAGGTGTTAAGTCACCTTTGGATTAATCAAGAATTAAACCTTCTTTTTTCTTCAAATAAGTAGCCAAGTGAGTGCCTCAAAACAACTTGCAAAATTATCATTTACAGGCATCGGGTACATTATTCAGATGTAAAAAAAACACCTTAGTGATTGTGGTTTGTTTTGCGAAGAGCTGACTTTTTAAATTTTTGTCTGACTTGTCGCATGTACTTTGTCGATTCAGACTTAATGTCGTTTTCTATGCGGTGTTTAGACACGTAAGGGAGGAGCGACGTAGAAGTGTTCCATTGGTCGTGACAGAGCCAATGTTCGACAAATTCCTCGCACGTCAAGGCTATAACGAGTAAGTACTCAAGTCGGCCCTTACGAATTTTTGGCTCAAGATGAATGATTAGTATCGACTTACTTTCTCAAATTGTTGCGCGGCAAGCTTTGTTTATGGTTCATTGTCCTTTTTGATTCACGATCATAGTCACGTGATTCAATACATTTCGCCAAAAATTTTGTATGCAAAAAAATTTCCTATAATTTTGTTTCGCCATAAATGTTTTTTAACCATACATTTATGACGCAGTTAAATGGTTTTTGCGATAAATTTCTTCAATAAATGGTCAGTAAAAATCGATTTTTAAAATTTATTTCTTGTTTTTAAGCAACACTGACCCCGAATTAGAGGACCCCTACGACTTCTCTCTCAACATGTGGTACGGCTGGTTCGACGAAAAGTACCCGCCAGTCTTCCAGGCCAAAGATGACGTCATCAGCAAGGCCATCGAGTCCGCCGCCAATCTCACCGTTATGTGAGTCACAATTTTCTTTTTTTTTGCTCTTTTTTTTCAGCCGAACTAAAAGAGACCATTTCAATCAAAAAGGTCACTGGTGAGGTAATTAATCCCTGCTAAATGCTTTGAGGTCGAATGTCTTCACCAAAAGCTGATGATCGAAATTCGTTTTTTTCTTTTCTTTTGGCTTAAACTTTTGACTCTTTCTCCGTTCCCCCTCCTGTAAGTTTTTACAAGTGACATTATTGTTCACATTGTCCGATTGTTATGAAATTTACGCGCGGACTGTTAAGGAATGATAAATATACTTGGTTTTTGTAACTATCAGGAACATTGAGTTCCATTTGTTAAAATCCCTTTTGAAAAGGTCTTTTATAAATAAAAGCCCTTGAAAAAGCCCTGATTGGTTGAAAATCATCATCACCATATTACGGAGCTAGCCAATATATATTCTGAGCTGTATAACAGAATTGTAATTCAATTTGCAGAAAACAGAACATTTTGGGCGAACCGAGGAAAGCCTCGATAAATAAGAATTTATTCCTAATAACAAGATACAATATTAGCAATAACGCCAAGATATAAGGAACATTATTAATATAACCAACCTTGTGTAAAACTACTCGTTACAACAAAAAAATGATGCTGGGGGGGGAATTGTTATTGGGGAGGAAGAGCCAATTTTTTTGGTGATTATCTGATTAAAGCGTGAAGTTTTTAAAATTCAGCTATGTGTAAATGATGCCAAATTTAAGGTCACACACTTGACGCTTTCTGCAAAAATATAAAATTTCAAAGGCAGGGGCGGCATTTCAAAGGCATAAAACCTCACCTCTGGTTTTATTTCATGACTAACCCTTAAATTTTTTTAAAGGCGTCTTTGGCGCCAATGTATACTATTTTTTGAAGGAGAGCGCGCGCCGAAAAACGCAATTTTTTGGTCAAATTTTTCCAAAAACGGCATTTTTGACCTGTATTTTTTCAATAATTTGCTTGAGGCGCAAAATTTTTTGTCGAAATAATAAGGTCTTAAGAGTGTTCTCGGAGTGCTCGGAAAATTAATTTGGTCGAGATCTACGAAAAAAGGTCGACAAATTTTTGAAAATCCGCCCCCCTCGAGAAAATACTAGATCCGCCATTGTCTAAGGGTTAAAGTCGTTTCTGGACGTTTCCTTTTAAAGAAAGTGCCCCATGAGCAGTTTTTTTATTGAGCAGTTTTCAAGAAGAAGTATATCGGCATAATAGCCTGATATTGCTAATTTTCTACAATTTTAAACAACCAGAGGCTAGTATGAAATAAAGTTTCCCTACGTACTGAAATTTAGACGTTTAACAATAAAACTTGATCGTTTCAAGTTGTTTTAATTCCATAGTTTTTTGGCGAAGTTTGTATTTGATGAAATTGAGCATCTCTACAAAACTTCAATCGGCTCAACCGTTTTGGTTGTTCGCCTTGGCAAACTCAAATCATTGCTGTTCCAAGATTAATACAGCAATATCAACACAATTTGTAACACCGCATTGTCACGATTCAAACGTAATGAATGTTCGCAGTACTGGATCCCTCAAGTAAATAAAATCTTTGTCAACAATGATTCCGGGTAAAATCAATCAAAAACACTTCAGAAATTTCGTTTCCAGTATCGAATATACTCTTTGATATGTTTATACGCTTCTCTGAGATTTGCGATTGGTACGTTTGTTGGGAGTTTTTCTACCGTTGTATTTTTGAGACCCAACTAATTGACACTGGCAGATCAATCCAGGAATGTGCGGGCGATGAATATAGTTAATCAATAATTTGCCAACGCTAAATATGCAGTTTCTCAATTAGTTTCATTTCTGAGTAGGTTTTTTTGAGTTTCATATGAGTGTTGTTTTTTCACGCTTTTTAGATTTCGAGTGCCGTAGTCTCCAGTACCTGTGTGAAAGGCTCAGATCATAAAAGTTTTAAATAAAAAATAGAAATCCAAATAATAACTTTTTTTACTCTTGCGATAAGCAAGGGTGTTGCAATCGGGAACAAGACTTTTTCCCCCGTAAATAAGTTTGTTCACAAGACTCATCTGGACGTCTGGCCTCATCTCTAGTGGTACCTTGTTTCATAATTAATTCAAAATTCTTAGAATTCCCGGTCCATTTAGTCTGGAGGTAACGAACACGGCTGGTAGCCAACGTTCCTTGTTTCGAATCTGACCAGGACTTCTTTTTTTTCAAACGGGAAATATCCTGTTTCAAATAAATTGTCGTCCAGTTATTTGTCTGCTTATTTTTTGTCGGCTTAGTTGCCTCATCTTGAAATTTTTTTTTGATGTATGCAGTTTTCGTTGCAGTTGCTTTTTGTGCTTTTATTTACTCCTGCAATTTGTAATTCTTCTAACCTTTAGTTCCTATATTTTCCTTTTTTGATTTTTTTTGTGTTTCGATTTGTCGCTTCTTCTACGAAAGCTCTGCTCCGCCTCTGTGTATAAATTACTCTTTGGAGTGTTTATTTATCAGGTGCAGACAAAACTGAATGCGTATGGGGTATAAAAAATTATAGATCTTATGGAAGATCATATGGTTGAGTTTGAAAGATAAAGGTGTTTTTTGTTTTTGTTTCAGCTGAGTACATCGCAGATAATTTAATTTTCTTATTTTGATAAGTTCTTGTTCGTTTTTTAAGGCTGCTTTTAGTGTTTGATATACTTCTGCAATTTGTATTTTTACTTACCTTAGTTTCATATTTTTTTCTTTGTTTTCTTTGTTTCGCTAAAAAGCTGTATTTGGTCCATATTATTTTGGCTGATTTTCATCAGTTTTCTCCGCCTTTTTTGAGTTAGTTGTATTTTTACCACTCGATTTGTTGAAGTTTTTTTTGGTTTGAAGTTTCTTTATAGCTTTTTTTTTGTTTATTTGATGCGCGAAAAAAGTTGTTTTTCATGGTGCATGTGTGTGCTATAATGGGAAGTGGAACGTAAAAATTTTCAATTAGCTTTGAACAAAAAAAAATCGGCTTGAAGAGTTTCTGCTCAGGTGTTTTCGGCTTTGTCGCCGCTTTGTTAATTTTGCTCCGATGCTGATTTTGCATTTGTTTTTGGGTATGTTTTTTCCCAACTATCTTCATTCATTTTGATAGATCTACTTGTATCGCAAATCTTGCGAAGAGCAGCTTCGCCTCTGTGGGGGGTTGATAAATTATACGATAAGCAAATTAGACGGAGGTACTTAAAAGGAAATTAGACGGTTTTGCAAAACTGCAATTGTGAGAAAATAGACGAAAGTGAGAGAAATTAACTTTGTTTGCACACAAATTGCGTTAGAAAAATAAAATTGTTTGTCGACAACAGTTCAATTTCGGTGACCAAAAACTTTACAAGTCAATCATGCATAATTTATTCAATTCTAAAATCTCCTGTAATATTCAGATTTGACATTTTATGCTCATTTGAACTAATTGTTTTGATAGGTATTGACATTTTATGTTCTTTTTGTATTTGTGAAACTTGACTCTTAAGAAAAAATTTTTTTGGCTCTTTCCTTTTCATAGCTTTTTCGTCTAAAATGCCAGATCTGTAAAAAATAAATTCCGTCTAATTTCGTTTTTGTAGTATCCGTCTAATTTGCTTATCGTCTAATTTCCTAGGCCCCGCCTCTGTGTATAAATTAATGGAGCAGCAGTGAAGTGGCTAAGTCTCCGTTTCTAGATCCAAAGGTCAGGAGTTCAAGAGCCACGATGATCGGTGCTCGTTGCTTTGGGCGATTGATTAACTCTCAACTCAGAATAATCACAAAAAAAGTTGCGTGTAGGTCTGTAGATGATGGCACAACCACGGTTCTCCGTAGTAAAGAACTGAAAACCGCTCATATGCTGGTCTTTTTTTTTGTGGATGAACAAGTTTTAATTTAGGGACGAGAAGGAGTTGATAGAGTTGAACTCTCTCGACCCGATTGAGTCGACGATAGAAAACGAACAACTCATCCAGAATATCGAGCAGAAGATAGAGGAGCTCACAAGTCGCATTGAGAAGAACTCAAAGACTGCCACTTATGACTTGGTGCAGAGGGGCGCTCTACAGCGAAAGGTGCAACATTCGTTTATTATTTTTTAATGAAGCAGCTACAGTGCTGATTTAAATTATCTGGACAAAACGCATAAAACTTGAAAATTAAAACACGTTTTTCTCAAATTGGTTTGATTTTGGCCGAAAATGATGAAGACAAAACTTACTTAGAATTTTAGCTGAATGAATTTAGTGTTTTTTGAAATTCGGGACCAAAATTTAACTCCAAATTTTTGGGCCCGAATTTCGAAAAACAAATTAAACAATATTAATTTGTATTGTTTTGTATTCATTAAAAGTTTTGTCTTCATTATTTTTGGCTAAAGTCAACCCAATATGAGAAAAACGCTTTCTAATTTTCAAGCTCGATTTTCAGAAATAAAAAGTCGAAGTACTTCAGGTTATAATTGAGATACCTAAATAATACCTAGTCATACATGTGGTCACCGCAAAGTCTGTTCTGTCGACTTGTATCATGATTTTGATGTATTTTTCAACGGGTCTGTTTTAACAGAAAACTAAGTGGTTTATTATTAAGTTAAAAATGCTGTATTTTTGGGTCTGTTTTTTAAATTAAAAAAGCAACAAATGAAATTTTTTGAAAAAGAATACCTTTTTGAATGTTTTTTTTTCTTTTTTTTTCATCAGAACATTCTGTGATAGTTGCACAGTGCCTAACTCCTCATTTTTTGCATGTTTTGTGTATTTATTGGCAAAGAAATGTTTTTTTTTATCAGCTTGGACGTATGAAGGAAGCGTGGGATGACGTGAATGCGGCGTTGGCGAGAGAAGAGAGTTATGCCGAGGCCTACTGGCACCGACATCTGCTCTTTTTAGTCCAGGGCAAACCCCAGTTGGCCCTGGAAGACTTGGCACTGGTGCTGAAAATAAACAAGAGCCACTCTGGTGCTTATCGATCCAGGTAATGACCTAAATTAGCCCTCGACCCTATCCACTACAGGTCCATACTGGGGAAGGGGTGTCATCCAATTTGCCGTAGCCATTCTCTCGACCCTTGTGTTGAGAGTCCACTCGTTCATGGCCGTTACTTTCAGACTTTCAGGTACTCTCCAGTTAAGTGTTCTGCTCATGCCCAAAAGCGCAGTTTCTATTGAAACATTTTCTCCAGGAATGCACCCATGTTATAAATAATTTTTTTTTTGCGGTTTTCATGCATGGTTTCCGAACTTTATTCTTTCTTCTGAAACTTTTTCTTCTGACCACGTATTTGGAATTTTGATTTTTGCGACTTGAAGCAACTACAATGTTGGGTAGATTTGTATAGGCTTACTTTGATTCTATCAAAGAAAGCTGTCGGGGGTTAAGTGTGGCATCACCTTATATTATAGCCTTTTCACTTGTAGCTCTGAATCCGAAAAAAATGTGATATTTTTTCCGCTTTTCAGACGAAATTTTATGAGAGACTAACCTCGCTATTTTATTTTTAATCCAAACATTAAGTCGTTAGCTATTATTAGTATGTCCCATTCTTGCAATTTTAGTTTCAATCAGTTGCCCTGTACTAAAAAACTAGAAACTTAAAGAAAAACAGATAGAGAATTTTTCGATTTTCGTGATTTTCTCATAAAGCGGTCTTTTTTTCCGCTCATTCTCAACAACTGACTCTACACATATTTCACATGTTCGAACTAGTTTTAAGGACAGGGCGAAGGGGGTATCTATGCAGAAGTTATCAAAGTAATCATGATGTTTGTCATTAGAGGGGACATATTCCGTAGTCTGGGGGATCCCGCGATGGCCATCATCAACTACTCCCAGGCCATCAAGCTAGACGACTCAGATTACATGGCGTTCTACAATAGGGCAGAAACTTACAGGGAGGTCAGTTGAAATCTATATCAATTTGGTCGACCTAAAAAAAAGGTCGACAACATTTCCGAAAATTTTTTGAAAATCCTAGATCCGCCCCTGTGTATATATATAGCACTTTTGTTCCATATGTTTTTCAGAGGGGTGACAACCTGTTGGCAAATGAAGACTACGCAATAGCTTCTAGACTACACCCTAGTCTCACTGACGCCAAATTCAAACACGCCCTCTACTATTTCAACACAGAGTAAGATGTTCTGCGTTTTATTCATGCTCGACTGTGTTTTCTAGTCTCTCATGAGAATTCAAATTGGTATCATTTAAAAACAGGCGTGCTGCGGGGAAAAGTTAAACGTACACTAGTGGACAAAATTAAATGCAAATGTTCGTTTTTATTCTCAAAAATGCCTACTTTCAACGAAAGCTTTGGACTCTTTTTACCTGGAATTTTATCAAACTTTTCATATCGAACGCTTGCAAATGATCTGAACTACACTCTCTGAAAGTCTCAATTTTTAATTTGAAGCACCTACTTGGCCAGTTTTCACCATGTGTAGTACGTTTTTCCAACAATGTGAGAATTAAAATTTAAAAGAAAAAACAAAGTTGAGGAAAACAACACTGATCTACGCAGTTTTCGTGCTTTAAATTTTTCACAACGCCTGATCAATTTTTTCTACTCCGCTTATTCAAAAAAGTGTTCACCCTCATAGACATGGGCATTGTGTTCATTCTCATAGGCATTTTAAGATCTACCCTGGATTGCAAATGATCTGAACTTTCATAGCAGAAAGTCTCATGTTTGAAGCACTTCCCAGTTTTCCGGGTCTCAAAAGTTTTCTATATGTAATAAACTTTCAATGGGAGGGAACACTCTTTCAAATAAGCAGAAAAGATAAATTTAACCATGCTATGTGAAACTTTTTCAACCAGAAACTTGCATTGTTTAGTGTGACAACTTTCCCCAAATCTGCTGTTTCTTATAATGTCACTCTTTCTGAAAAGCTTATAACAAATGGTGAAAACTGGCGTTTTCAGAGCCGGAAAAACTGTTTAAAGTTTCAAATCAAAAGTTGATTCATTCAGAGATGATAGCTTAGATTACTTGCAGTCGTACGATGTAAAAGTTTTTTTAAGTTCTAATTAAATATTGTTGAAAATAGTCTTTGAAATTAGGAGAGTCAAGCTTAAATTTACGTTTAATTTTGTCCTCTTGTGTAAAAGAACCAATTAAGTGTTTCAAGTTAAAATTTGAGACTTTCAGAAAGGGTAGCTTAGATCATTTGCTGTGGGTCGATGTAAAAACTTTGTTAAAATTCAAAGTAACTTAGTTTAAAATTTGCGTTTTATTTTGTCCCTAAATTTGCGTTTTATTTTGTCTGCAAGGTTTTGTCGTCACTTTAAAAACATGTTTTGAGGGGTAAAAATTAAATTTTAAACAATAATGATCAGATATTCACAGCATTCACAGAAAATTAACAAGCGGCCAGTTTTTTTTGTGTGTACTTCAAATTGGAACAAGACTGCTAATATCAAAGCGGATTCTTGAATGTTCAGGCTTTCCTTTAACGTCAATGATATAGTTTTTAGCTAAATGTTTTAATTGATTTTCAAAATTGATGAAATCTTCAGAAAAATCAGATTTTTAAAAATCCTTCTCCACTCACGCTATGCAAGTACAAAGTGATGTTTTTAGCGTTTGATGACCTAATAGTTTGTGAAATATCTGGTTAACTAGTCTTTTTACAAAAGCGAATAGCTGGCTAGTGTAGTATTATATTACGACTTCACTTTTTTTCAAATAAGCTTGCCCAAGTTACTGCTGCTCCTTTTTGATGCTAGGCATGGCAATTTAATAGGTTTTGTTTCTACCGCTTTAATGGTAGCCAGCTTTTGCAAACATCAGCTTCTGATGGTACGAATTTATAGCTATTTGATTGTGGTTATTAAACAGTTATTTAGCTATTTGAGTGCTTGGAGGGCTAGATTTCGATTCCCGCAAAAAGCAGGTTTCTTTGTCCTTGCCTTTTCACTGCCTTGTTTTCTCTCCTTACCTGTTAATAGCTGCTTGTTGGCGTTTTTCTCAAACTCGTGCCTGGATAGGTCAGTTTCCTGTTTGCATGAGCTCTGAAGAAGAATTTGTAAGTGGTAATGAACGACATGATTTATCACTTGTTTAGGCCTTGTGTTGTTCGTTCACAACAGTCTTCAAAATTGTTCTAGTTCACGTTTTTTTTGCAAGTTTATTTTTTTTTTTGGTTTCAATTAAATGTTTGTGGTAAAAAGAAAGCAAGTTACGCTCTCCACTAAAAGTGTTAGTGGCGCGAAAACTTGAAAAAAGTTTAGTTTTGAGAGTGGATTCCAGTTTTTGATTTTCCTGCAGAATAAAAATTTACTCATTGATCCAGTTATATCTTATTGGGCTAGTTTTTTTTTTATAAGAATCATGAAAATAGTGAAGACGTGAATGGGACTTGGAGATTTTTGATTTGTATTTTGCCTAAAAGTTTGTTTTTGCTCAGTTTTGATTTTTTAGCGGTTTGGCTTTTGATTTATTTTTCAGTTCAGTTCATATCTTTTGTTAAAAGGAGGAGGGCAAACTTTTCGGCAGACACAGCCGAACAGGTAAAGTATAAAGGTTGCGAAAAAGTTATCGACTTCTAGTTTCAGATTTCTCAGCTTTATTCTCAGATTATTTAATTATCAGATTTCTCAGCGAAGTAAAAAAATTTTTGTTGATATTGATTCAGTGTTCTCAAATTAGGTTAATTTTATCAAAAAAGGCTCCAGTGTGAATGGCTCATTTAGTAAAAGAGCTTCAAGGTATACGTTTTTTCTTTTCAACTCGCAAGTTGAAGTTTTTTTAAAGTCAGTTTCTTTTCCTTGCGCTCATTACTCTTTTCCCACTGCCAGTGGCTGTGGGTATTGAAATTGTTATCGCTGATTGCAGACATTTGCACAATGCTTTTCTCGTTACATTTGCAGCTTTAATAAGCTGAACTGTTCAACTCATCCGTTGGTTTCTTTTCAGAAACTGGCAGGCGGCCATCTACGATTTGAACGAGATTGTAAAGTACGACGCCAGCCACTTCGACGCCAGACTGTACAGAGGTAGGTGCTACTTCCAGCTGGGCAATTGGGCCAGGGCTCTGGAAGACATCAGTGCCGCAATCCACTTGAACCCCAATGACCCCTCCCCCTTCTACTACAGGGCGTGTCTCTTAAGGAAGTAAGTTAAATTCAACTATTATCATGATGAAATTACTAAATTATACCCTAATGGGTTACGTAGCAGTACTTAGACAACCGCGTATTCAGACTCGTCAATATTTAGACAAATACTGTATTAACCAATCAGAATCGAGACAAGGAAGAAATGAATAATTAACAATTATTTATTTCGTAAATTTGCTTTCTCATCTCGGTTCTGATTGGTTAATATGGTAATTGTCTGCTTAATGACGAGTATGAATACGCGGTTGTCTAAATACAGACCGCACTCCACCCTAATGACATGTCTTCAAGATATAATTCAAAGTGTGTAATTCTGATAGTTGAGTATTTTGCATGCGAATCAACATATCAGGACAAGAAATTGTTTGGTGTTGTTTTTTTACCCGCTTTAGCGTCTTAATATAGGAAAAGCTAAAATGTACGAATGTAAGTTATTCTTCAATGCATTGATTCAGACAATATCCCAAGGCAGCTCTGCAAGACTTCAGCGTGTCTCTTCTCCTCGATGACTCATACGATAATCGCCACTCCTTCCTTCACAGGGGCATACTCTACATGGCCCTAGATAGGTAAGCTGAGACCATACATGGTGGGTAAAAAACTCCATAGTTTTACAGTCATGGTTTCTTAAATGTACGGTAATTTGAAAATCTACTCATGCATATATGAATTTAATCGGAGGAATTTTTCCTTAGGAGTTTGTCTGTATCTGTTATGACTCATGTTTTAGAAGAAAAATGTAGATTTGCTGGCCCTAAATTTTTACAACATTCTTCAATTGAGTTTCAAATAGTAAATAATTGTGTTTCAGATAGTTGTAATAATTTCAACTAGTCGCTTTTATTAATGGCCTCTGTTTTGGTTCAGACACGAGGACGCCTTAGTAGACTTCGCTTCTGTGCTGCAGTTGGACAAGAACCTAGCCTGTGCCCATTGTAACATAGGCGTAGTACATCTTACACGCACTGAGTACTTCGACAGGGCAGTTAAACACTTCTCAGATGCAGTCAAGAGTGAACCCAACTACACCAGGGCCTACATTTGCAGGGCACAAGCTTACGAGAAGATGAAAAACGTCAGTCTATTTTTACCCTCTTCCTATTTTTCTATCACTTGAAAGTTTGTTGTATCTGCATTATACCGAGAGTGGGTTTTCATGCTGCAGTGCAATTTTTACAGATTTTCTTAGCCTGTGAATTATTTCGTTCTCAAATTAGGCAAACTTACTGTGATAGTTTTCCCACAAGTGTTCGCGAGTTCTAGTCCCGTAGATGTCTATGAACGTTATGTAATGCAAAGTGTCCTGAAAATCTTACATCATTTTGCTTTTTCTAGTGGACGTTTTCTTTCAGACATGCTTATTGGCGCTCAAAGATTTTGACTTTTCATATTCATAGTGGAGCTCAAATTTCAATTCCATAATGTACAAAAAATTGAAGTCTTCAAAAATAATTTAGTCCATCCAAAGGAATGAAAATCTATACTTTTGACTGGTATTCTTCAGATTACTTTGATTTTTTTTCAAAAAATGTCAGTCAAAACAGCTTCTGGAAATTGAACCAATGTTTTTTCAGTACAAGCAGGCGCTGTTAGATTTCACGCGTGCCATCCACATGTCTCCGAATAATCACCATCTGTGGGTGTACAGGGGAAAAGTGTTGCTGCTGATGGGTAGGACGAAAGAAGCGGCGGCCGCGGTGGAGCAAACGAGCAAAGTGGCAGACATGAAGCAGGTGGCCATACAACAGCAGTCCATGATCTATGGATTTCTCAGGGACCATAACAAGGTAAGTTTAACTGATGCAAATTACAATTAAATAATAAGTTTTATTACTGATTCAAATAACGGTAAACTTATCTTTTAGTAGTGAAAACTTGAAAGGTGAATTGCAACCAACCTTAATCTCTGGTTACAAACTTTTTTCCTGAAAATCTTTTCTGAAAACGAAACTTATCTGCACCCAAACAATGCATTGGCAAGCAATTACTCGCGATCTAGACAAAAGCAATTTTTATCAAAAACATGATAACTTTTCATTGAAGATAATATTGAGGTTATGAGCCTATTTTTCTAAATTGACCCAAGAAAGTTGAAGTACTGAAACTACCTGCAAACTTAACTTGAATTCCTCGAATTCAATTGTTGTGCATGTTTCAGACAGTAGCTGCACTTCAACAGACTGCCCGAATGAAGCCTACTGGACCAGTTCTGTTTCTTCTGGGAAAAGCACAGATGAAAGCTGGACTACTACACGAGGCCATCAAGAACTTCAATCAGGCACTGGAAGTCATGGTAATTTACAGTGTGCATTACATTACATTTACAATTTATACAGAGTGGGTAAGACACGTGGCCTTAACACAAAGGACATGGGTTCGAATCCCGCTTGAGTCACGGTTGGAGGTGTCATTCGCCTTCTCAAGGTGGCTCAGACTACGGCAAGATATATGACATCTATCTCGCCAACGGAAGCTAGGTTGAAGGTAGTGAAGAGGAAGTAGGGTCGGGCCAAATTTAAAACATGTACTTAATTAAAAATAATTATTATATCGTTGCTGAATTATAAATCTGTAATTTGGAGCGTTTATTTCTTTGTACTTTTTTGCACCTTGGTTTTTTCTACCTTGATTTTTCTAATGATACGAATATCCGCTTTCCTTTTGTATTAGTTAATCCAAAGATTTTGCTAACAAGTGACACGGTTTTCACCTCCGACTCATTACCAGCTTCCACTGGCAATGGGGGAGAGACATTAAACTAACATTTTCAGAGCCTAATTCCAGATCGATCTGAAATGCGATGAACTCTCATCTGATTTTAGCTTCCTTGGCACCACAAGCAGAAAATGCCCAAGGAGACTGCGGACGTGTACCTCAGTCTGGGCATGGCTCACTTAGAGGTGGGCCAGAACCAGCAGGCTCTCAATGCTCTCAACCAGGCCATCCACATAAAACCCAAAAACCCAGAGGTAACTTTAAATTATTGTTCAGACCATTTGAAAATTGTGAAAGACTTAGTATTCGGGATTTCTAGTTTTTTTCTTTTTTTTCCACGCAAAATCAGGTACCACAAATAATCATCGGAATGAGTGATCTATCGTATTAAAGCCCTTTCATCCTTGATTTGAACGATATTGAAAAAAGTTTGACAAAATTTTCTCAGTGTCCTAATTTCAAGCTAATAAGG